CGATGTGATAGTATCCCATGTTCAGGTCTAGACTAGTAGCGTCTTGAATCCATCTAGATTAAAGAGAATGTCCTGTATTATTGGGATAGAATAAGGCTGCCGCTTAACTTTGTTTAGTTCCTGGAAATCAGTGATGAATCGTTCAGATCCCTCTTTCTTGGAATGATAAAGTTGGTGCCGCCCAACCGGAACGGTTTACCTTCTATAGTACTCCTGCCTCGCAGAGACGTTCACCTCCATCTAAGAGTGTTTTGGTATGGATCCCTGTGAATAGGGTAAGCTCTGGCATGATAGAGTTTAGCATCAGGGAGGAGTTCTACTTCGTTGTCGTCCATCTGCCACTTCCTAAAGTACCATCGAATAGGTCAGAGTACTTTGTCAGTAAGGAATGAAGCAGTTCCTTCTCTTCGTTTTTAACTGATCTTGACTTGGCAAACCTGCTTTAAATCAGCTTGTTCGTATTTCGCATCTAGAATCTTCTTGAGACGACCTGCACTGTCATCAACAGCGGTAGGATCAGGAATGAAGAAGTCTCCTCTTCATTGTGTCGCTAGTCTTTCATGGAATAGATACCGCCGTCCCAATACCACTGACATGGTAGTGAAATGAACTTGATATCTAGATCAGAGAGAGATGTCTCGACCTATGATCATGTCATCGCCCCCAAGCTCTTGGGATACGTGTAAATCCCACTCGATAATTCTATCTTCGTGGAATCAGGAATCATAAATGCACCTTGCACTTCGTGCTGGCTGTTTAATTCTCCTGCAGGGGGTAGTCCACATCGTTTGGACGCCCCCAAGATCCTTCAGCGTAATTTTCTTAGCATGAGGTTGAGCAATCAAGGTTCCGGATGCTCCTGATAAAGTAAGCAACAGAGTGATAACGGCTTTGGTTTCCCTTCTTCTCACTTGTTAAATCTAACATAGACGTTGGTTTTGAGGTCTCTTTCTCGAGTTTACGAGGTGGTTGACCACGGACAAGTACCGATGCTAAATAGATCATCAGAGTCTAGTTGAGCAGCTTCTAGGCAATCATCTAATTTGCCGTAGAGTTCATCAGTTGCAAACAATTTCTTGTTTACTATTAGTTGAGATATCCTTCATCACTTTGGTAAGAGAAATGGAACATGGTTTCCGTTGAGTCATCATCCTTGCCTAATCACTCAGATAGAGATTCTCCATCCAAGTGATTAAAATTCGATAGAGGAGTGTCCTCTATCTGGTCAGAGTTTTCTGACTTTTGCGATTGGCAACATGGTGTGAAGTGTTGCAGAGTTGTTGTACGAGTATCGTCGATTTCTCGGTTTTTCTTCGTCATTGTCGACGAGAAGAGGAATGGGTTTGTCACCAACTTTTTCTGAAGTTGCGGAACGCATGCTTCCCTGTGAGCATCTATGGTGAAGGAATAGGTTGTAGGTAGCTGAAAGTTATTGTGTTGTTAACAAATAATGCAACTTACGCTAAAAGCTAGTGTAAGAATCCTTCGTGAGTGTTTTGATTTGAGGAGCATGAAAGTTAGGAGAGTATTAGAAAGCTAATGAAATAATCAACGAGAGAGATCATTCATCAAGGATCGTAGACTGAACTCCGCGGGAGACTGATAAAGTCTGTGATAGAGTAGGTTTTGGGTAGTAATGGGCGCTACGTCTTTTCCCTAAACGGCGCGTGAAGTTTGTCTTAGCCTGGATCTAGTAGCGTGGAAGTACCACCAGCATAGCTAAATATCTGCGCGATGTTTCCTATCTAACCTAGTATGATATGGCTTTCATTGAGAACCCTGTCTCAATGCTATTCACGAGAGACTTCAGTCATGGATCGAACTCAAAACCCTATCTAGGATCGAGTCGCGAATAAGGTCTAATAGCCGTGTTTGCACTAAAGTATCTCGACGCCTGTCTTTCCCAACGCCGCCACTTTAACCGTTTGTTGTCTCTGCTTATGGGTCTCCTTGGGGCCGAAGCTGAGGCACTCGCCAAACGTATTTCCCTTGTCGCGAAAGTGGGAACACTCTTACTCAGTGGTGCGTGGCTACGATAATGCTCGGCTCAGCCTAGCTATTCTTCGTGCCCCCACCTCTTCATGCGTGGCTCTCGTGTCCCTGCTGGCAACAATGAGCTACCAGCTTCTCTCTGGGATGCCGATGGTGCCACTTGCTCTCTTCCGCTAATTTTGCTTCCTTCTCCTTCCTGTTTTCCTCCATGCACCCCCTCCCCGCCCCCCTTTTTTGCCCATGCTCGCGTCCTCATTGCTCTCCCGTACGCCCACCACAACAGCCACCACCATCGCAGCACTACTATGGCCTAGCTTGGCCCCCTCGCTCCTTATGATGTATACTATTTAGAGCATTTCAATCCTGGGTCACCCTCTCTAGAATTTTTTTTTTAGCTCAGTTACTATTAAGGTTGGCCCCCGCAGGGGGCTTGAACAGTTAAAGATTGGGCCTTGGGGCCCAACCACGCGAAGTCTAAGCTTAGCTAGTGGGAGTGGAAATACATCGGTCTTATTGGCTTGCCCTCAAAGCACTGCAGCAGAGCCTCCTGCATCTTCGGCTTTGTCTTTGGGATGGGCTTTCCCAGGACCCTGGCCCAACCCTTCATGTCTGCGAAGCTTGTGCTTGGGTCCAACAGCTTGGCTTTGGTCAGACCACCTTGCTTTGGAGCAGCCTTTCTGGTGCCAGCGGCATGTACATTGATCCTGGCCATCTGAACAAGCTGACCCTTGTCTCTGTGCAAAGCTTTGGCATGCTGGGGCCTCAGCCTACCCCTGAGACCAGCGTTGCCCTGCCGCATCATGCTCGAATGCTTTTCCAGGATGCTGCGGTCAATATCTCAGGCATAAAGAAGAGAATTTGATTGAGTGTGAGCCGGGAGCTCAAATTCCATGGCTGCTAGAGACTGTTGCTCTGCCTTCCATCGTTTGTCAATGCCGTTCCCAAAGAAATTCGTAATTTGGGACTGGCCCTGGCCTGCAGCTTCTTTCTTCCTTGCAAGCGCTCTCACAACAGGAGATGTGACTCCGTGGACTGCTCCCTGTGAGAAATGGCGCTGCAGATGTTGATCCAGTTTCCCAGCTGTTAGAAAATTCCTGGAGTTCACAGAGGCACGCCCTTTCTTGCCGACAGCTGCCAAGAACACGATGCCATTGTCGTCTACCTTGGGGAAGAGTCCACTGGAGTAAAAGTTCCGAGTGTAGTGGTCGATACTAGCTGGCGCCTCTTTCGTACTCGCACTCATCGTTGTCCTTGGATTGCGATGAAAGCGGATATATCCTCGGCTGCGGTGAGTACCTCTGCGAAGTACCTCTGCGGGTATACTGAATGCGGTAAGTACACCTCTGCGAAGTACCTCTGCGGCTACTGAATACGGACGGGATGACCTCGGTTTTATTGTTTTGCTTCACTATCTGGCTCAAATTCGAAATCCTCTGGATGCATGCTCCGTCGGTCTTTCGAAAACAACACGAAAACAACACGAAAAAACACGACAAGAGACTGATCGAGCTGACACAGAGATAAATAAATAAATAAATAAATAAATAAATAAATAGATGCGAAATCTACGACTGACGTCAGTCGGCTATCAATCGTTCTGATTGGCTAATCCTCTACAGTGGCTCTACGGCGGCTCTACAGCGGTAGTGTACTGTAGTGTACCGATTGGGCGGATGTTCGTACGGCGGTCCCGCTGTACTTTCTGTACCAAGCCTTTTATGTTCTGTGGACGTAGCTTCCATCTCTAATCACAAAACCCAAATAAATGGTTGGCATCGAGTATCGCCGGCCGACCTGAGTCCACTGAGTCAAATGTGTTTTAGCGAACATGTGGATTCATGTGGCTCGTGCAAATCCAAGCTGTTTGCCCAGCCCAAACAGCCGACTCAAACCCATTTGACTCATTGGATTCAAATTTACTTAAGGAGAAGAATTGCCACATCATCAATGACATCATTCTAACATCACAATAGGAGCGTTGAGGTTCTCTTTCGCGAGCAAGCATGGCCTAGCTAGCAGCGAGGATGGTCAACCTCCAACCATTTGGGTTTTGTGATTTGGGGTACCCGGGGATTGAATGCTCTTAGGCCGGTCTCTACCGGAGCGACTAAGAGACCGACTAAAGGAATCCTTTAGGTGGTTGTTTAGTTCAAGATTTAGTCATTATCCTTTAGTAATGGTAGTGTCTACCAGCAGATGACTAAATCTAGGACTAAACAATTTAGTCGAGTGTTTAGTCAAAACGTGGTGTCTACTGTGGGGACTAAACAAATGACTAAACGGAACACTACCGGACTTAAAGGACTCAAAAAAGATTTAACAAAAGTGATCACTTGGTGGGCTACCAATATTCTATCAGCATGGTGGATTTAAAGGACTTAAACAAAGACATAATAGAAGTGATACCGTTTTCGAGTTAACAAGACTTCGAGTTAACAAGACTCAAAACGTTCGATCGTTTGCACCTCTAGATCTACCATCGGCCGTTCGATCGTTCGATCGTTTGCACCTCTACTATCGGCCGATACTCCTCTTCCATCGTTCGATCGTTCGATCGTTTGCACCTCTACTATCGGCCGATACTCCTCTTCGATCGTTCGATTCTACTATCGGCCGATACTCCTCTTCGATCGTTCGATCGTTCATCGTTTGCACCTCTACACCTCTACTCTATCAGCTCTGTTGCGGTGCAATGAGGCGTTTGCACCTCTAGTCTATCAGCTCTGTCGCGATGCTCTGATAGTGAGGCTGTGCAATGAGGCTGATTTTGTTATCCAACTCGGTGGCATGCAGTTGTATTGTTTTCTGTTGGATTTATTTGCTGTTCTTAAACAAGCTTTAGTCCTTACGCGGACTAACCAGCCTCCTGTTAGTCGGTGAACGAGCCTAAGGACTAAAGCCTTTAGTCCGTATGACGTTTAGTCGCTTGGGTAGACACCACCCCAAGAGACTAAACTATGGACTAAACTACGAAATATGGCTTAGTCGCTACTTTATTAGTCGCTCCGGTAGAGACCGGCCTTAGTATTTGTTTTTCACCAGTACCAGTGCCACCACTATATTTATTTGATAGGACCAAGATCTTCGGTGTCAACTATCCGTTGTTTGCACAAGAAGGAAGTGTGATGGCAATCTCATAATGCTGACAGTAGGTGCGGATTAGAACATGTACTCCAGCAGAGTAGCAAAGATCCAACAATGATCGCCTTGACCAATGATGATGCGTTGACCGAGACTTCTTCGGAGGGCTCGGACCTCCAGACTACAAACGAAACATCGTCATCATCATCATCATCTTCTTCTTCTTCTGTGCCCGTTAGCGCCCCAAAGACTGTTTCCTACCACGAGAAGGATGACCCGGTCCTGGCCGGGGTATACTTGCTTGTCTGTTATCTGTGCTTCGGAATGGTTGGATGGATCTTGGTAGCGCCCGCTTCATGGCTCTTTGAATATTCCAGCTTTCACCAGAATGTGTTGCTTCCGTTCTGGGAAGAGATTGGAATCTTTCGAGTGGTACCAGCGCACACAGTCACAAAATACAAGGGACAAACCTTGGCAAAGCTGACTCACATAATCCCCGCAGCAATTTGGGCGGGCATCGTTCCCTTTCAACTCCACCCTACTTGGAGAAACCGCCATCGCAGCCTTCACCGTCGAATGGGGTATCTCTTTGCAGTGGTATCCATTTCGGTGGATTTTGGCATACTTGTCATTATGCATAAGAAGCTGTCCTTTGAATACTACTACCCAGACGTTCTTGTGAGCGAGTATACTCTTTCCGCGCATCTTGCCGCCCCCACGTTCATTCTATTGGTCATCTGGTTTTTCTACACTTTGGTCGAATCCATCCGCATGGCACGAGCAGGAAAGATTCATTTGCATCAAAGGTGGATGGTGAGGCATGTGGCGTCGGGCATTTGGGTCTCGACACAGCGCTTTCTGACCATTCCTTGCTACATGATCTACGGCGAATTTGCCTGGCCGAGACCTCAGACAGTCCCTAGCGCGTTCGGAATGCAGGCTTTTGGGGATGGGGGGATGATTGCCATCTTTGCCACTCTATTGTTAGGGGAATACACAGTCCGCAGGTTGGAGCACCTCCGAACCATGAGAGCGGAGAGCAAGAAGGCCTTGTAACCGTTGTACGTGGCCACTTCTCAAGCCCAAGTAATGTACATGTAAATACAGGCAAAAACCAATGCGAGCATCAATAAAAAGTAGCATTTAATATTAAAAAAGATCTCTGCAGGACTTCCACTGAGGCCAAATGATCACCATTTTGAACAAACTCTACATGTAGGAACAGTTCAGTATTACGGTTCTTGCCATCCACCATCCACTGAGGATGACGCATCAGAATCGAATCAAAATATAAAAGGCACCCAGACTGAACTCTCGTTCCAATAGACCTAGCTAGTCTCTCCATAATGATAGCTCTCTTTACGAGCCTTGGTAGTTACAAAAGTAGGATTAAATTGTTATTAAGGTTGTTCCCCTCTTGACGAAGCCATAGAGGACCCGTATACCCAAGGCACGCAAAGGTGCCCACTTGGGAGGGTCTAGGCTGTACCGCTGACGGAGTAGAGGACCCCTACCATACCCAGGCACGCAGAGGTGCCCACTTGGGAGTGGCCCAGAACTGACCTCCCACCAGAGACGAGCCTTGGGCGGACAATGTATCGAGCATGTACATACATGTACGGCTCGTAATACGGCAGTGGACGATGATGATGGAGCATGAGGGTATCGTCTGATGTACCACCGGTACCGGTACCGGTACCGGACCGGTGAAAGCCAGTGACGGCATGGTGGCGCGAGGCGTGGAAGCCTCAACAACAAAGCATCCCTAAACCGTGCCCACCATAAATCGTCACTCACGTTCTGTAAGGCTCAGCACCTAATGATAAGGTGTGAGTTATGGTAGGAGCAGGGCCCTCCTGCCTGCCCTCCTGGTGCCTTTTCAACCAACAACCAACAATGCCGCAAAGACTGCGAGTCCGTCGACCGTACTCAAAGCTACGCAACGTCCCTGCGGCAAGGGTCAGTGACTTCTACTCAGCAGCTCTCCACCAAACAAAACCCAAGCCTCGGCTGCTTTGTGCCTGGCGGTCTTTTGTTTGTTTGCTGGTCTCTTCGTCTGCTGAATGGACTGAAGACTACCGACCACAGTCCTTTTGCCATCGCCGTCGTCGGTTTGTACTAGTAGTAGATCGGGTTGTTGCTGTTGTAGCAAGGCCTACCATTCGACGAGGTATGTTGCTCTGTCGTGCGGCGTGGAACTGGGTCATCTTTTTGGAGTTGCCCTGTCGGTTGCATGCGCTTGCTCGCAAGTGCCAATGGTTCTGGTCTGTCGTTGTCGCTGACCTCTCTCTGTCTGGCGTGGTCTCCTTTCATTTTTCTCTCTCTTTCCACTCGTGATACTACTACTACTGCAGCTCTGTGTCCAATAGACTGACTGACTGACCTGAGTGAAGGAAGATCCGCTCTGCTGCACTATACCAGCGTGAGAGAGAAGGCGCACAGTTGTTGTTGTAGTTCACACACCCGTGAATTACAATTATAGCCGTTGCTGCTACTCCAATTGCTATCATCAGTGCTATTGTTGATCGGCTGTCTATAGTTATATTCATTCATATACACAACACAACACACAATGCGTCAAAATGCGGCAGGTGGTGCCGCTGCACCAGACGAGACCTGGATCGATGGAATGATTGACCTGCTGTTGCAGGCTCGAAACAAAAAGCCAGGTACTCCAGTAGAGATCTCGGCTCAAGATGCCACGACACTGTGCAACCAAGCGCGAGAAATCTTCATGGCGCAACCGATGCTCTTAGAACTGGGGGCTCCCATAAAGATCTGTGGCGACGTCCACGGACAATACACCGATCTGCTCCGATTGTTCGAATACGGTGGCTTCCCACCCGAGGTACGTCTCAGTGTGTCGTTTGGTCTCGACCGTCTGATAAAGTCGGTGAAAACAAGGAAATCAATTCAAATCAAATTCACAACAAACTACGCTTCTCCCTGATGCTATTGATTGATTGATAGGCAAACTACCTCTCTTGGGAGATTACGTGGACCGTGGAAAGCAATCTCTGGAAGTTGTGTGTCTGCTGTTTGCTTACAAAATCAAGTATCCGGAGAATTTCTTCTTGTTGCGTGGCAACCACGAGTGTGCTGGGATCAACCGGATTTATGGATTTTACGACGAGTGCCGTCGTAGGTTCTCGGTCAAGATGTGGAAGCAGTTCTGCAACACTTTCAATTGCCTCCCCTGCTGTGCAGTGATTGACGACAAGATTATCTGCATGCACGGCGGTCTCTCTCCGGAGTTGTCGCAAATGGAACAAGTCGCAAACATTTCTCGTCCTTGTGACGTCCCTGATACGGGTCTACTGTGTGATATCCTTTGGGCCGACCCTGACCCGAGTATCACGGTGAGTACATTTGAGATGTGTTGCTAGCCTGAGGATTCTGTCTTGTGTGCTTACGATGAGTGTGAATGCTCAACATTCTTGTTGCTTGCAGGGTTGGGGTGAAAATGACCGTGGTGTCTCTTTTACCTTTGGCGGAGATGTGGTCCGTCAGTTTCTTCGTCGGCACGATCTTGACTTGGTTGTACGAGCTCATCAAGTTGTAGAGGACGGGTATGAATTCTTCGCTGGCCGAGAGCTCGTGACGGTCTTTTCAGCACCAAACTATTGCGGCGAGTTTGACAACGCCGGAGCCATGATGACAGTTGACGATACTCTCATGTGCTCGTTCCAAATTCTCAAGCCGGCCAGTGCCGCACAGCAAAGAGGAAGCGGGTACGGAGGCCGCCCAGGGACTCCCGGCCGTCAAGGCGGAAGGTAAACAGGGAAGCAAGCAGTGCGGCGAACAGTATTTCCTCCTCCAATGGTGGTATAGTTTTGACCCTACAACATTGCGAGCAAATAAGAAAAAGAAACGACGACGACGGCAACTGACTGTAGTTATTTATATGAAAAAGAAAGAGACACTGATGACCGTTCAAACATTGTGGAGCAGAGCTACGACGCTGTCATCAATCACTCTCGAAGTTGCGACGGATCTTTTGTCTTGAAACACACACCACCCGCTAGTAAATCAATTGCTGTCGGGATGACCTCATATAGAGAACTCTGTCTGTTATCGAATCTAGTACTAACTACGTACCGGTAGCTAGGGCTTGTGTTTGACGGTGCTCTTTCTTCGTAGTTAGTTAGCGGGAAGCGATGGTCTGATTGCTGTGGGTGATCTTGAACCTGTTTACCGCCGTAGGTACCGCAGCGCATGTCTATGGTTGTAAATTCGTTCTACTGACTGGAAGGCAAGGTATTGCAGCTACCGGTATAGTTGATGACGGTCAACGTTCGGAATCAAGAAGTATCGTACCGGCACCGGCAGCTAGCTAAGTGTGGTTACTATTGTTCCCAGCGGTGTTTCTCCCATGCTGTCAGAGGGCGTCACTCAATGCTCTCGGTTGTCACGAACCGGTAGCCATTTCAGCGCATTCGGATGATGTAGAGATTTTGGTATGTCAAATTGAAATCCCAGGGCCAGCCATTCAGTACCGGTACGGTATGACTCATTTCAACACTTCCAGATATCCACCTCTAGCAGCAGCCGTGCAGGTATTGTTGTTCCAGGGGCAGCCATTTTGAATTGCCCAGTTCAGTACCGGTACATCCAGGTGCCCCCCACAAGCAGCAGCATAGCATGTCAGAGAATAGGGCAGCCATTGTTTCTGTCCCATTTCAATGCTTCAAGATGTCCTTCGTGAGCCGCACAGAAACATGTCCAGGCGCACACGATGGGCAAATTGTTCTCTCTTGCCCACTTTAGAAAAAACCAGGTGTCCACCATGAGCAGCACCCTGGCAAGTCTTTGCATCCCATTGGCAGCCAGTGTCCATTTGAGAACCACCAAGCTAGGCTTCCTTTAGCAGCAATGGCAAGTTTCGTTGCATCCATGGCTTGGACAGCGATTTGCCTATTTTTGCCCTCAACCGACTGAGGGTCTTTCACACTTTTATCGCTGTATGTGCAAGTTAGTCTGTACGTCGCTGTGTGTGCAAGTTAGTCTGTACGTCCGGCATAAAGGATGGGGTAAATAATAATTGTTAGTTGGTAAAATATACTCCGAGTACCAAACTATGTGTGTGTGCAAGTTAGTATGTACGTCCGCCATAAAGGATGGGGTAAATAATAATTGTTAGCAGGTAAAACATACTCCGAGTACCAGAGTATGTGTGCAAGTTAGTCTGTACGTCCGTCATAAAGGATGAGGTAAATATTAATTGTTAGCTGGTAAAACATACTCCGAGTACCAATGTGTGTGTTTTGGTTGGCTATCGATAGACTACAGTAGACTGTGTGTTCAGTTGAACACAGTGTTGGATTTGGCCAAAGAATCAAATCTCTTTTTTGACAGTTGATGAGGGCATCAGCCGAAGGCTGTCTGTTCTTTGAGAACTTGTTTTCGTAAGGTAGTTGTGAGGAAGTGTGCGCCTTTGCTACTTTTAGCTCGACCACAAGACCGTGACAAGACAAGCCAAAACATTGAACCAACGCCGCAAGGCCATGGCATGCATGTAAACGTAACCATCATAAACGCCTTGTTGTTATAGTCTGTGCTTTCTCGTGGAGTTTGGTGAAAGAAGAATAAGAGACAATTGCGAGGGATCTTCTATCGTCTTCTTTCAATCCACTTGACCTGGACCATACAAGCCAGACGACAATCACTAAAAGTCGATCATCCTTCGCATTTATTCTCTACACGATTGCTGGGACAAAACAATGGCATCCTTGGACCGTACTGATTCTGTTGAAGAAGTAGTGGATGAACTACCGAGTGTTGTGCATCAATCTTTGAAGGATGCAGACACAAATGGTGCTACTACGTGTAGTAGGGCATCCCCTGATCATTCTGCAGAATGTGACCAAGAGAATGGTGGCAATCAGGCAAATTCTCACCTTCCGTGTGATTCAGCTGATGTCGACAGAATACGTAACGAAGGAAATTCCACAAATCCAGACGATCCACCGTCGGATGATGAGCACAGCCCAGATCGATTAGAACCAAATGTGTCTTCTTCTATCAACGACGCAACAGAAGCCTTGTCAGGCCGTGATTCTTCTTCTGTCAACAACAATCCACAACAACAAGAACCCAATCATCTATTGTCCGTAGAGTTACTGGGAAATCCCACATTCAACCTCCTTCCTCCTGATTTGCCTTCTGGGTCTTCTCCTCCTTCCAGTGTCGCTTCCTCCAGGGAACCTGGCATGGACAGCTTTCGACGATTTGTACGATCCCGTGCTACGGCTCGAACGAGAACCACGGCAGAGTCGTCCTCCCAAATATCCACGCAAAGTCTCGGCGATGAAGACTTGTTTGTCCTGGCGGGTGGTGAAGACGCTGCAGCCGAAGGCGACAACAATAGTAATGAACGTGCTGCTTCCTGGGATCCCATTGCAGCAGCACGAACCCAAGCATCACCATCGGAGAATGTACCACCCATTGTGTGGGAAGAATCATCGGATTCCGCCGAACCAACAGATGTCAATCGAGGAGACAGGAGAGAGCCACCCAATATTCGACTGCGAGGATTCTTGCCCGCTGTACGAAGACGGGGCGGGAGACAATCCAGTAGTGTCCGACGACATCTCCCTTCCTCGTCCGCAGGGGCGTCCATGCTGGCGGCGTCTCCATTGTCCACAACGGCACAAGCCGTGCTATTTACTTCCTCCCAAGCATCCATTGATTCGAGCACTGAATACGCCATTTCTCCTTCCAATCACAGCCGATTGCTACGGCGTTCGACAAACACAGCAATAAGACAATCTTCGGCAAGTACATTGGACGATTCGGCCATTGCTGCAGCAACATCACACATGTCAACAGCAGTCGACATTGGAGGAGGAGATGCTCTTAGTATCAGCTCGGTGGGCTTTTCGGCCATGGCGCGATCCGATCCTGCTGGAATGGGAGATAGTGAACGACAATCCGTGGCACGCAGCAATAGCAATCCACCGCAGGCACGAGGACCCGCCGAAGAAACAGCTGGAACTACAAACGGCAATGCCACTGCTACAAACAATAATAATCCCAACAACAACGACAACAGCAATAATCCAGGCGATCCTCGGCGAGAAGCACGCATTCGATGGGTTCGTATCAATCAACGCTTTCAGCTCCTGATCACCTTTGTGGCAATTCTCTTCAGTCTGCTTTTGTTTTCCATTCTTATCAGTTGGATTGTATTGACGAGCGCCTATGTCGTGACATTTGAAAAGAGCTGCGACGTGCCACTCAAGTTCTTCTACTGGATGGTCACGCTGCAGCTAGTCCTCGATGTCTTTCGAAACGATATTATGCGATATGCACTGGGATGGAACCCTGCCACGCATCCGCCAGGACTGCATCAAACTATACCCGTAAGTGACCATTCGATCATTCGTCGGGACATCTTGTGTTCACAGTGCCAGGACAGCTCTTACTAAAACGATGGTGTTGCTGGTCAAATTCTACATTTCCGTAGGCTCGCGTTGTGGCCTACAATATTGCCTATCTGGCTTATGCATTGCTGGTGTTGAGATTGGGCATCACTTGCGTCTACATTGAAGGGCAACTACCAGAAAGTACGTGTCGCCATACAGCACCAGAGCTGTTTCAATCGTCGCTTGTGTTTGTCACTTTGACACTCTCGGCTTGGACAACAATCATCCTTGGGTACCTGGTACCGTTCTGCGCTGTAGTTACCCTCTTGACTTGGAACGGGTACAATCCCGCGGAGGATGATGTTGGTGGTCGAATGGGAGGGGTCCAAGGTGTCTTCCCGGGTACATTCAGCACCGGCGCGCCTCCAGGAACCATTGATCAGCTACAGGAAATAGATTTCAATGAGTGCGGGGAGAACTGCCCTCAGGAATGCTGTATTTGCATGGAAGACTTTGGCCCGGATCAGGCCATTGTGCAAACAGATTGCGGACACATCTTGCACAAAAGCTGCTGCAGCGTTTGGTTCCGGCAAGCTCGCACATGTCCCGTTTGCAGAACGGACATTCCCAATGCACTGGCTGAACGAAACAATCAAGAAGGTGATGTCGAACAACCGGGTGCAAATAATGAGAATGGTAGTAGTCCCCAGACGCCAGAAAATGAACCACAGCAACGGCAGCTTCAACTACCCAACCCGGTGCCTGTGAATCAGAGGACTCCTGTGACACCTCACTTGCCATTTCGACCTGCAGGACGGCAAGAAGTTGTCACACTTATCAGAGCGTTGCGGCAGCCGAGGAGAGAACGACGGCCGGCCGATTCTCAGGGTGCACCATCGGTAGGAAGTGCAAGTCGAAGGCCAAGTGATTCTCAAGGTTCCAGATCTCAGTTGGAGGGATCAAACCACGTCGATCCAGTGGAGATTCGACCCGGACAGGATACCGACATTGAGATCACGGCATTGAATAGCGGTAGCGCATCTACAAGCGAGCACCAACGAGGCGAAAATAATGCCATGGAGCAGGAGGCACAAGTCTAGCTAGCTAGCTACTCGAAAATGCCAGTGATTCATCATAAGTAACTGTTGCTATAGCAAACCCCGACGGAATGAACCGATACATGAGATAGACACGACTTGAAGGCTCTTCATATCTCTCCAAGCTCTCGCAGCTTCTGGATTGCAACCATGGATGTCCAGCCGCCAACTATATTCATCTCGCCTTTCGCAATCATCTCATAGATTTCGGGTACAGTTATGTTTGGAATGATGGTAATGTCCTCTTCATCATCTAAAGGTTTTGGGTTGACTGCAGGGTCAGGATCGAGCACTAGAAAAGCTTGCACCACTGTGGTCGAATATTTATCCATGTTTGTATCATCAGTCAGCCGTATCCAGGTTCCCCCCACAAGGTGACACTCCTCTTCGAGCTCAAACTTGGCAGCATTGAGTATTGGATCAACCCCTTCTTCTTCATGTTTGGTCTCTACCATTCCCGCGGCTACCCCCGCTTTCAAAGCATGCGGTCCAGGCATGTATTCCTGCACTAATGTAGCCGTTTTGGTTTTTGTGTCCCATGCAAAAATTAGAACTGCCCGATTCGATCCAGATTGCCCAACAATCTGAAGGACAAGATGATATTCTGTGAGGGCGTCACCGTATGCATCCAGCTACCGATAGCCACAATGTTCTGCAAGACCTTACATCAAAATCTACTTCATTTCCGTTTGGAAAGCGAACGATGCGACTTGTCAGAGTTCTCCATCGACTGTAGAGCACATCTTCCTTGACAACCTCGTGCTGGGAACTGCCATCAGATCCACACCTCAGGGCAAAGAGGATGGAGCTCCTGGTCTCACCATGAAGGCCATGGCATAACGGTCTAATGGCTTCCACGCCGCAACTGGAAAGTATAAACACAAGAAGAAAGCATTGTAACAGGATCATTGCCATGGTAGCAGCTTGAGTACTATTACCGGTATCTTGCTAATGATGTTGCCATACCGGTATGGAGGCTTCCAACGTCCTGTAGAGTTCCAATAAGCCATCAGGCTGTCAAAGACTTGAGTCGGTCTGTACCGGTACCAGGTACCGGAACATGTAATCTTTAAAAGCTTTTTAAAATAATTAATATGGCATTCCTTGAATGCTGGCTTTTTAAAATTCGTATTTTGTCTGTTTGGGTAAGTGTTTTGGCGATTAAGTGATCCTTCTATCCTTATGTAAATGTCTACACACCTTTAGTAGACATAAAAAGACAAAGTAGACATTATGCGACTTTTGAAGACATTAGGAGACAAAGTGATACATTGGTAGACATTGGTAGACAAAGTGAGACATTGTGAGACATTGGTAGACAAAGTGAGACATTTTTGTACTGTTTTACTGTACTGTGTAGACATTGTGAGACATTGTGAGACATTGTGAGACATTGTGAGACATCCGTAGACATTGTGAGACATCCGTAGACATTGTGAGACATAAGCCACTTTTACAAAGGAGCATAGAACATTTAGGCAACTCTGTAATCAGATACAATAGCCTGAAATAGACAAAATGCCGAGTAACCCAGAGCCCAGAGGAATGCAATTCTCAGCTTGCCTTTTGTTAATAAAAAACTCCTCACCTGGGAGCCCCAAACACATTGCATTCCACATGGGTCATATTTATCGCATCCTAGAGTGGTTTCCTTCAATACTACTATTGTTTGCCATCAATGTGTAGTTAGTTAGATGTATAGTATGCATGCCCTCTTGGACCCCCGAAGGGTGCTTGATGTCGGGACCCGTTACTAGCTAGCTATGAATCTTTGTGTTTTTCTTGTTTTTTGTTTTTGTATGCATCATGCAAAATCGAGGCACCTGATCCACCTCCTTCGACCTAAAACGTCCCAATGTGCTCTCCTTAGACAGAGATGTCATCTAGATCATCAGCAGATTCGACGAGGGCTGAAAGCATCTGAGAGGAAGAAGACCCTTCATTTTCGATCGCAGTGTACTTCTTCTTGAGGTCTTCAACGATGCCTTCACCCTTCCGCGCCCATTCTTCACGGTTTTCAAGTGCATAGTTGAGATACTCGTCACTGGAGACCCCAAACACATTGCATTCCTTCAACTTTGCAGCCTGCAACAACGATTGTTTGCGTCAGCAGGAAGAGTCCAAAGGAGCGGAAAATCACAGTGCAGCAAAGAAAAGAAAGTCCAGGTTACTCACCAACGGGATGATGTAATTGTCAAAGAATCCAATCTCGCCGGCAGCCCAGAATGTAGCAGGGTCTTTTCCCATGCGTCCTTCTTTGTAGGCATGGTACATCTCCAGAAACAAACGCTGGAGAGGAGTAAACGGTACATGTGTCTGAGGCCTCCTCTCTCCGGTCTCAAAATAGAAAAGAATTCAAAGTGGGTACGTACCTCATTCCACTTCCTGTACACATGCCAGTGCTGCATGGTATGGGACACGTCACTAGCCTGGATCAAGTGCTCAATGACAATTGTGGCCTTGAAGTCCTTGCGGCTTGAATCATCTTCAAGGGGATCCTTCGAAAACGCCTTTGTCCAACGACCTTTACGAAGGTCATTGAGTTCCTTGTCAAAGATGTCCGTAGCAAGGACAACCGCAACGACAATCTTGCGAAACCTCCGCATGTCCTCCTCGCTGTCGCCATATATGCAGGCGCGAAGCTCTCTATACTCGTTTCTCATCAACAACTCCCAGGCAATATCCACTGGGAGATGCAGGAAAAGGTGATACGTGAGCGGCATGTTGCCATTTGATGGCGTCGTGATGGGCGCGGAACACGCAGTTTCCTGGGCTTACCTGAGTTCTGTTCTGCCAAGCTCTTGTTGTTATAATGGTCAGCAAGGTCTGGCTGCTCTTTGCCGAGCTGCATGTTCGAGACACCCCGATGGTCCACATCATGAATCAGAGCAGATAGAACCACAGCGAATTGTGTCTGGGAAAGCAGGAAAACGTGGTATGCGATTGGCATGCTGCGTCGCGATTGGCGAGAGGTACCGGTACCGCTTTCGTGAACTTACCAGGGGGTCACCAGTGATGCCATAGGAATAATCGTGAAGACCCAAGGCTGCACCCTCGTCGTTTGACACTTCAATATCAGGGGCAACAATTCGTTTGAGGAGCTTCGACACGGAGCTGGCCACGTGACTGGCGTGTTCTGCGATGCGATGAACGATGAAGAGAAGCAACAAGAGTCAGCGACGCCTGGCTGGGAAGACTCACCACAGAAGCTGTGTATTAAACGCTACCGGTATCAAAGTACTAGTATACAGTCATTGCGTACCAAAGTTGTGGAAAGGGTTGTCGTGATAGAGCTTGCTGATCTCGGTAACGAGCCGCCGAAGCTGCTCGATCACGATGGGCTCCAAGGCAATTGTCTGAGGATCAAGTTCCAGTGATGCAGCCTTGTCATCAAACGTCGGGAGCTTGAGAACGTCCTGAACTTCGTCGAGAGGTCGCCTTCCAGATTTCGCGCCTTCAAGTCGCAAGTCGCCTTTCTTCGAGGACAATCTATTGTTCTTCTGCGCGGCCTGGACAGCATTTCGCCTAGCAACTACAGGTTTCAAGAGATTGGAAAGCACCTGCACATTCCATTCGATCAAACGAGTGGTCTTTCTGGAAGCCTTTCCTTCAGAGGTATCTTGGCTGCGAACGGAAGCAGTGCTCACGACGTACTTGGATGTAGGGACGAGCCAGAAGGTTTCTTGGACTCCTTTGCCCTTGACATGTACTGTGGCTTGATTGGGTGTGATCCATGTACCTTTCCCCTCCTTTACGAGAAGGTCTGCCGTGGCTTTGGAGAGGTGAATTTTGTTGGGAAGACCATGACTATACATGCGAACGAAAGAAGTTTTTGGGGAACGTGCATGCTTTTTTTTATAAAAAAAACTGAACGGGACGAATCATCAATCGGCAGCGTACCTTTCCATTCTTGACGCGAGGTTAACCGTGTTTCCGAAGAGCTGGAAACGTGCTCGATCTCCACGAAGTACCCCAGCAGTGCATGGACCAGAGTTCAGGCCAATCCTGAGCATCATGTCTCCTGCGGATACAAGAAAAAGTGGTGTCAGCGCGCTGTTTCGCAAAAGTCAAAACAACGCAGCGCTGTTTGCTTGACACGCTCACCTGTGTCCGGTCCCAACTGAATCTCGAGCTTCCTGGTTAGTTCATTGAATTTGAACAGGCACTCTTGGGCGAAATGTGCCATGACTACAGCGTGCCGCTTGTTGGCATCTGGCAACCCACAGACAGCAACGTAACAATCTCCCACAGTCTCGACCTAAGGACGTTTGGGAACGGTAAACAATCAAAGTTCACCAATGGAGAGCTCTCAAACACAGAACCTTGTGAATCTGCAGGAGACCACAGGACAACCTACCTTAAAGACCTTTCTCCTGTGGGCGATAGCTTTTAGAGTCAGCGGGCAGGACAACCCAAGTTAGGTGAGCCACAACCGCAGGCAAAACAAGTCCAATGCATGCATTGATGGTGTCATTGAAACGCTTACCGTCAAAACCCTGGTAAATCGTCTGCAAAAACGTAAAGACTTGTCCGGGATCTCTTGTTGAACTCCAGGGGGTGAAGCCAGCTACATCTGCAAACATAATGGTGGTACTCGTGTAAAGGTCCGCGATGGGTTTCCCAAGTGCACCTGCTTCCGTCCCCGTGCCACTGTTGAGAAAGCTCTTTACCCGCTGCTTGTTCGAGGTGTACCCACCAATGTTCGCTTCCTGCTCTTGCTCCAACATACGGTTGCGAATAATCGCGGGGAACACATCTGAATCAACAGGACGGAGGGGCGCAAAGGCGTCAGTCAGACAGAATGCCCAACTTGGCATCCACGAGAACCGGAAAAACCACTCACCGTTCACAATGTTCCTCGCTTGGAGTGCCTTGGCCAGTGTGATTTTCTGCCGCCGCGTAATTTCCATGGCGTAAAGCAAAAAGACGATCGTCGTGATGAGGAACAAAAACACAAACGCGGCAGCCACGGCATAGATGGTGGGGTTGTTGGTTACAAAGACACCCTCCATTTCCTGAGTTGGACAGAGAGTCACTTCAAAGGGGCAGAACTCAGCGTTGATGGGTCGACCAGAGTAGCGACCATCCAAGTTGGAAAGATCAAACAATGGTCTTGATTGACACATGGACTCATACTCCCCATCGTGCGCATCGATATGACCCAGAAAGGAGGGCTCGCTTCCTTTAATGAGATACGAGAACGACTGATTTCCACATTCGTTCTTGAATACAGCAGTCACACCAGGAGACCCTTCCGCGAGAATTTCCTCCATAACGTGGCGCCAGTAAAAGTTGAAGGCCAAAACCCCAAGAGCGTTGACTCCTTTCGTAGAATTCACAACTACATTCTTGACTGCATCGTGGACTGGGTAGTACATTGCACTGCGATTCCAAGTCAGGATAACGAAGGCAAAGTGAGTTTATGCGCGTGAAGCTTTTCCGGACAAGCTGATGCCTCAGAAGGACGTTTTGATGCACAGACCTGAGGGGTTCGCTTGGATCATCTTCGTTGTCGATGAAGTCTTTGGCCCAGCCATTGGTAGTTGCTGCGGAAGCAATGCGAGCAGGGTCATCCGGTGGGGCGTAGTTTATGAGCGGTGTGTAAACCACCGAAAGCGAGTCCATAGCGGCCAGGAGCGGCACTCTGTACTCTTCATAGACCACGGCGTTCCAGTTGTAGGGAGTCCAATAGGGTATGACGGGATGTACCAACCAATTAGGCATGAAAGGCCCTGGTGCGTCTTCCGGCATGAGACCCGTGCTGTTGAAAATGATATCGACAAGGTCATATTCTCTAAGGATGGGACCATGGAAGTTTGGATCCTGCTCCTGAACGTCCAGGCATTCTTCGACCCACCATCTGTTCTCGGGCACAAAGTTCTCCCACTTGAGACGATCCTCTTTGGTGGCGATGTAGGGGAAGTACTGTACCGGTACATGGGAAGGGAGTGCGAGTCGAGTCGAGTCTGCATGTGAGAAACTACACTAAACTGGAAGCACCCAAGATGATGGTCTTGGCTTACCTGGATGACAAACGATTTGATCTGCATGAGGAGCTTGGACGACTGGACGCAATGATCGGCTTGGACAGCATAGGGCCACTGCTTGCCCACTGCCATCGAATACGACACGGCACGGTACATGTAGGCATCGGCGTTTCCCATGCGTTGGTCCAGGGTCCTTCCAATCGCCGAGAACACCTTATCTGATTCAGACTCGAAATGATCTTCAAAGTCAGCTTGCTCGGAGTTCGAGAGGTAGAAGTAGAGGAATGTTGTGACAACAACTGCAACAACCACCAACACTCCCAGCAATAGGAAGCGAAAGCACATGGCATGTTTGCCATCCGTCAAGCTGCTTTTCAAAACGTCCGAATCCGACAAGGTCTCGCTGCCTGTACCGGTAGCGCTGGTCATACTTTTCGCGGTGGTCTCTCCTGGCTCATCACTGAAAGAGAGGACAGAGTCGTCGTCGTCGAGATCTTTCTTCGTCATGGTGAGAATGTCTTCCAATATTTGACTTTTCGAGGCAGTTTCCTTTCCCAAACAATGGGTTCAAAACAAATAAATGTGCCAGTTCGAGAGTCTCCCTTCTCTGAGTGACAGGTCTCTGAGGCACTGAGCTCGAAGAAAGTTAGTTGTAAAACTATCCAAGCTCCAGCAACATCGTACGAACTGCTCTACTAGTTCCCAGAAACCAGAAGAAGGCAAACTCCGAAACGAGAACATCATGTGATAATGTTGCTGAACAGTCATCGCCATGCGTCATTGGGGTACCGGTACCAGTACAGCCGTACCAGTACCAATACTCCTCGAGGAGTATTAATACGGTGGAGCAGAAAGCCTGAGAGCTTTTCGGAATTAATGGCGGGCTTTTTGATTTAGGAAGACACCTCATTTAAGATTTAAAGTACTAGTACCGAAGATACGGTCAAAGTCATTCTTTAATCGGGATAAATGAATACTATTATACTAGAAGTAGCTAATGAATCAAGTATGTACGGGTAGTATTAATAACCAGTAGTCAAAAGCAGTCTCTGGATTAAGGGAAGCTTGGAAAATGAGAGCCGCTTACGTCCAACTTCTCTTGCGAGACTGAGAGATATTATGTCGCCAACTGCAACAGCTCTGTAATGCAACAACCAACCAACCAGCTCATCATCAATCTCATCTCGCTCTTATCTCTTATCTATCGAATGATTGAATAGCTATTTAAAACCACATGGCAGAAGGGAAAGGTAAGAGGTAAGGGCCAGAGGGGAATCAAGCAGTGATTGAATCATTCTCCGAGGAAGCAAGACGGAAGCTTCAAGGGGAACGCGGAAACGAGAAAGCAATAATATATAAGTAAGTAAGTACAGTAGTGATGATGTTGCTGAGCAGAGGTACGAACTTCTCTACTCTAGTTCCCAGAAAGCAGATAGAAGAACCCCGGCGCCAGCTTTTCGGCATTTTATTAAATGGCAAATGGCAGGCTTTTTGGGAGGGATTTTCAACCCTAATCTGAATTCGTGGATCGGGGGAGTGAATCGAATCGATTCGATTCGATTCGAATCGAATCGAATCGAATCGAATCTCCGCGAAATTTGCTTGCTGATTCATGTGTTGATCGTCATGATCTGACTGAACACCGCGAATGAATCTGCGGGGTTTCAACTGCCGTATACATACAACAAGAGGTTTCGGGGGTTAATTATTACTACTTAGATTAACAATCTATCGGTCCAGAGGACCTTTTTCTACGGTGGCAATAGTTGAGCCCGAGGGCCCAAAAGCTGAGTCGTATACCATTGACGAATTGCACGATAGGAAGATTCATGGTGTACACCAAGCGTCAACACTGAAGGAGGATATGCCTCGTAGAAGCACGGCTACACTATCCTATAGTCTCACCGCCATTCACCTCCGCCCCCTGAACGAGAGGCAGGTCCCTACAGCTCTACTTACAATGGGAGTGTGCATCCTCCCGTCGTGACCTGGATCACGGTAGCGTAGCCAGGATTTAACCTATTAGAAGGGCGCTGATCGACAGCAGGTCATCATTGATCCACCTCCACCACAGGCGCGTCTGAGTGATCAGGTCCCATGCTGTGGCCATTGCCTTGTCGTGCAAGGCAAGATGCCAGCAGAGTCCATAGGCGGTGGCGCACCTAAGACTGGACCATGTCAGGGTATGACCTATCCAGTGTGCGAACAATGTCAGGCAGAAGCTGACAAAGAGCCATGCGATTGGGCCAAGTGACGCACTGGCAGGCAGTGGCTCCCAAAGGGGGGGCACAGTGTCAGCTGGGGTGGTGTGGACTGTAAGAGGGATTGTGTGGTGGATGGGGGAGGTGTGGTTGTGGCCTGTAGATGGTATGGTGCTGGAGGGAGGAGGGTAGGGTGTGTTTGCCGTGGTAGGCATGATGGTTGGTTGATGGAAAGGTTGTTGGGTCATGGTTCTTCTTCCTCTGGATCTGGATACTGTGTATACCACGGCAAGTGTGGTCATTCTACCGAGGATTGCGATGTCAGCAAGAAGATGGTGGCTTCAGCCAAGACCGGTAAGTTGTATGACAAACCCAAGAATAGAAACAAGACTTGGAAACGTTCGGCCGACGATGCCAAGAAGAATACCAAGAAGGACTTAGCCGCCTTTGTCTCCAAGAGTGTCCAGAAGGCCCTCAAGAACGAACTCAACACTATCCACAAGAAGCGCTCCAAGGATGAGTCGGACGGCGAAGATGACAGTGGAGAATACCTCTGCAAGGTGGACCTCTCCAACCTCAACCTCAGCGATTGACGTTCCTGTTTGTCTAGCTGGCTATTGGCGCAGGGAAAATTACACTGGACGGGAGTTATTGCAGTAGGATAGATCATACTCCTATAGGTTTTTCCCCGTTTTGGCGGTATACTAATCGTTCATACCGTTGACAGGAGCGTCCCTCAATCGCGCATTATGGTCCAGTCGTGCGTGACGTCAGATACCGAGCCGGGCGGTTTCATGGTTGGCGTCACTCGTGTTTGAAAAACGCCCCTAACGGTTTAGGGGTAGATTTGAAACCCGCCCCTAATTTAGGGGCGGATTTCGAAACCGACCTGAAATAGGGGCGTTTTTCCGAATCTGGCGTTTTTCAAACACGCCCCTATTTACAAATCTGCCCCTAATTCCGAGAAACGTCCTTAAAAACGGTCCGATTTAGGGGTAGATTTAGGGGCGGGTTTCAAATCTGCCCCTAATTTTGATCGAGTCCTCGTGGCCATTGACCATTATTTTGACGATGGCACTTCGGTTCCATCAACCCCTTCCGCTACTAGATTTCTCAGTAGAATAAGTACCAGCAGCGTAAATAGCTTTCATGTGTTACGACCGAAGCAGCATCGTGGAGCATGAGCGAGCGATATAACTCCGTATCGATGGCACTCCGTATCGATGGCACTCCGTCATGCTGCTCCGATGGAACTTCACGCTTGGAGTTCGCTGCAAAACACTCACAATTGGCAAGTGGCACGTCGAATGGTGACAAACCGCTACCATGGCAGCCGATGATGATGAAACCAACAACGATGATGCTCTGCTTCTCGAGCAGTGGAACAAGTACAAGCCAAACCATACATTCAACCTTGTCCTCAATAAGGAGTCTAGCAATCTATTTGGGAAAGGATTCCAAAAGTTTGGCTCGCCGTTGCCTTTTGTCGATGGCCATGCTCTATTCACTGAGAGCCGCGAACTGGCCAAGCTACTTCGAAGCCACATTGATACAATACTCCCGAACGAGGCAATGATTCCTTGCTGGGAGATTGTGTTCGAAAAGGTCATCTCTGAAGACGTTGTCAACACATTTTCTACGGAGGTCACAGCCAGGCTTCGCCAAGCTGCTCTTCGTCTCGCAAGGACACCAGCAACCATCTTTGGTGACCCCTTTGTCACGATGAATGGGGATGCGTTTGTGATGAAGCTGAACCCCTTTGGCGCCTCTGAGCCTTCCTTGGGAATTCGAACGCAGCGCCATGATATGGTCCTCTGGCTGGCATCATACAATGTACTCGGCAACGCATGGAGTCTTTATAGTACACAGCCTCTCGTGGAAGCTCCTGATCCAAGCCGGAGAGTCATGAAGGTTACTTCTGGGAACCAAACGTTCTTTGTGACACAGAAAGCCAAAGACTCAATGATGGAAGCTCTTGAAAGCAACAGCAATAAACCAACAATGTTTTTCAGAGCCAAGGACACCATCAGAGCTGTGGCCGACACTCTTGAAGTGGATATGCTGGAGTATTCCATGCCCCAAACATCAGAGCAGCTTCAGGCATTCAACTGGGACTTGGTCACTCCTGGAGAGTGGGGCACATACCCCCAGGGAATTGACCCGATTCAAGATGATTTCGATAAGGTGAGAGCAGTGCATCAGGCTTCGAAAGCTGACAAGGATGCAAAGGCTAGATCACAAGGTCAGGCCAGCAGTAATGTCCAATCATACTGCACATATTGCCAGAGGTGGAGATTGTGGAGGAATATGATGGCTGTTTTTCGTGCAATGAATCAACAGCCGAACTATCCTTGTTGAAGCCATTGCCAGGGGAGTCTGCAAGCTCTGCCATTCTAAGGATGCAATGATAGAAGCCATTGATGAGGAAGTTAAAAAGCACATCCGAAAGCTCAAAAGTGCAGCAGCAAAGTTGGAAAAGCAAAAGAAGATTGACGATCATCTGTTACTCGGCTGCCAACAGAAAGCAGCAGAGATGCGGAGGCAGCGAAGGCGGAGGCTGAGAGGATTCAACGTGAACGACAAATCACAAGCAAGCACTGGAAGACAGCAAAGCCAAAGACCTGAGGGCAGGGAGACGGCATCAAGGGGCTGTGTTGAGACAAAAGGAAAGAGTTATCCAGCTACCAAAAATTTTTGGAGGCCCAGCAAGCCGAAAGCAAGCAGCAGCCGACCGCGGCGCAGCAGAGAAGAAGTAGAGAGGAGCTTTGGAAAGGGAGAAAGGAGAGAGTGACAAAGAAACAGGCGAGTACAGCAAAAAAAAAAGGCAAAGAGATGTGACACAACGCTTGGCGACATGAATCCTCGGCAGAAGACCAGTTTGGGTGAGCTTGGAATCTCCTCGCGGGTACAGACTCAACAATATAACCTGTGTTGTGCCTGACCGAAGACAGCACAAGAAGCTGAATCTCTTGCATCATTGATGCTGCTGAGATAAGAAAGATTATTGCGAAACCAGTAATTTGGCGCTGCCCACTCCG